CGTCGTTCGGTTTCCCAGGCATCAGTGGCCATTGGCTTGTCGTCCCATTCCTTTTCCCAGGCGCAAGTGGTCACTGTGCTGTCATTCCGTTCCGTTCCTCAGACATATTGTCGTTTGTTCGTTGTTCCGTTCCCCAGGCGTACGTGGCCCTGATCCGCCGCTGGCACTGGTCGGAGTTCAGCGTGCTCTATGAGGATGCCGCCGGCCTGGCGCGTCTCCAGGAGGTGCTGCGGACCTCCACGCCGGCCGAGTTCAGCATCTCCATATACCAGCTGCCCCTCCACTCAGGCGACTTCAGGTCAGGGCGCCCGTCTGGGTGTCCGGACAAATTGCCGAAAGGCGATTTGCCGAATGTCATTTTGCCGAATGCACTTCGCCGAATGTCATTTTGCCGATGTGGTTTTTGCCGACGTGTCAAAAAGTCGAAATGCTAAAAGTCGAAATGCCATTTGCCGACATGCCTTTTTGCCGAAATGCCAATTTGCCGAAATGCTTATTAGTCGAAATGTAAATTTACCGAAATGCGATTTGCCGAAATGTCGATTAGTCGAAATGTCAATTTGCCGAAATGTAAATTTGCCGAAATGTCAATTTGCCGAAAGGCTAATTTGCCGAAATGTCAATTTGCCGAAATGTCAATCTGCCGAATCGGCAGTTTGCCGAAATGTCGATTAGTCGAAATGTAAATTTAACGAAATGTCGATTAGTTGAAGAAATGTCAATCTGCAAACCTCGGTTAGGTTAGGTGGTACCTATTAGTTTACTTTAGGATCGATCATCAATTTACTTTTAGTGCAATCCCGGATACCCAAGTAAAAAGCAAATCACATGACATCCTTTGACCTCCTGATTTCATAACTAGGTCCATGGCACAAACAACTTTAAAAGCACCAATACAATATGGAAAATAACATCAAATTGCTCGTGGTGAAGCAGTGCAGTGCCGAAGGCAATGCCTTAGGAGAGATTACAGGCAATGGTAAGTCAAATATTTTTAGGTTAAAGGGACCCTCCCACCTTCAAAAAAGTTTATGAATTGGCATCAAAGTGATGTCGCTCGGTTCAGAAAGAGCGAAAACAAATATCTACCAAATTTCACCGAAAAATATTCACCGGTTTTCAAGATATTAGACTTTTACTTTTGTTTACTTCTTTGGGATCTCCCCTGTTTCTAGCGACTTTATTTTAGAAGTGCGGCGTTTGCGGCAGATGTTGCGCGCAAATAGCATATACCACCGCGTGCTACAAAACGTTTTAGTCATACATTTAAAAATCGTTAGATATCTGCGCTGACGTCACACATTCAGAGGGGTATTCCTAAGCATTAGCCCCTCTGAATCAAAATGCTGCAATTTTGAAATTCAATATTTCCGATTTAAGGTATTTCTCGATGTTGTGAGTGCCGAAACCGGTAATTGTGAGCCAGGGACCCCATTTTGGCTATCTCAACTCAAATCTAATGTTAAGGTGGGAGGGTCCCTTTAAGTGGTTGTGTATCTGGCTTCAGGCCTTCGGCCTGAAGCCTGATGCACAACCACTTAACCTAAAAATATTTGACTTATCATTGTCTGCAATCTATTCATGTGAGTAACTTCTTCCTTATCCACGGGTAGACAAAAATCAGTAGGTCAGGTTAGGTAAGGTTTGGTTATGTTTTTTGATGTAAGTATGTATCATATCAGGATTTAGGAGCTCAAAAAATGGAAGGTGTAAAATTTACCTAACAAAACTGAGTCGGTCCTAAAGCTAATACTTATACAGACTAGGTTAGGCTATGTTAGGTTGGGCTAGGTTAGGTTAGGTTAGGTTGGGTTAGTTTCGGCTAATTGGCATTTCGACTAATTGACATTCGACTAATTAGCATTTCGGCGAATTGACATTTCGACTAATTGACTTTTCGGCAAATTGACATTTCGATTAATTGACATTTCGGCAAATTAGCATTTCGGCAAATTGACATTTTCGACTTATTGCACGTCGGCAAAAAGGCATGTCGGCAAATTGCATTTCGACTTTTAGCACTTCGCCTTTTTGACACGTCGGCAAAAAGACACGTCGGCAAAATGCATTCGACATATTGACATTCGGCGAATAAGCATTCGGCAAAACGCAGTTCGGCAAATTGTCCTGTAACCCCCGTCTGACGGGTGACAGCTGTCTTGTTTACATAGAAGCTGCATGTAGTAAGAACATAACACGCACCCAACCAGTAATGCACGGTAAAAGCAAAAGATAATCTTTCTTTGTCAATAGTACAGACTACAGAATGACGCATGATTCTGGATATTCACTGATTTGCCTTTCCCTGCAGGCCCCTGCTGCAGCGCATTAAGAAGACTGGTACCACGAAGCTGGTGGTGGACTGCCGGCTCTCCATGATCCGTCCTCTTCTTCAGCAGGCTCAGGAGCTGGGCATGATGAACCAGTACTTCAGTTACTTACTCACCTCATTGGTAAACATGCAAAGCACGGCAGTAACACGCCAGCGATATAAAGGCGATGCAGTAGCCTTTACAGCATCGACAGTAACAAGACCAATCGAACAAAGCTCGCATTTGTTCGTATTTCACGAACCCTTCAAAGTTTTTATTCTCTACGTTACAGACGCACCGTGTGTTGTGCGGTACAGTATATCTCACAGGAATCGTGCTGTGCGGTACAGTCTATCTTACAGGCGGTGTGTTTTGCGGAACAGTCTACCTCCCAGGCATTCAGCGTGTTACAGGTACAATTTCACACTCTCACAGGCCCGCTCATTGTGTTATGCGGTATAATCTGTCACACAGCGTGTTGTGCGGTACAGTCTATCTCACAGGCAGTGTTGAGCGGTACCGTCTATCTCACAGGCAGTGTTGAGCGGTACAGTCTAGCTCACAGGCAGTGTGTTGAGCGGTACAGTCTATCTCACAGGCATCCAGTGTGATAGACGGTAACTGCCTCACAGGCACTCATTGTGTTATGCGGTATAGTCTGTTACACAGCGTGTTGTGCGGTACAGTCTTCCTCACAGGCGATGTGTTATGCGGTACAGTCTAACTCACAGAAAATGTGTTGTGCGGTGCAGCCTAGAGTAAAGGCACTCTGCGTGTTGTGCGGTACAGTATAACTGTCAGTGTGCTGTGCAGTATGTACAGTCTTCCTCATAAGCAATCAGTGTGTTGTTCGGTGCAGTCTGACTCTAAACTTCGGTAGTTATCCGACTCAAGCCAACTGAACCTTTATAGGGTGCAATCTTATAGCGTTTTCTGTGCCGATTTTGTGAACACAATAATCATTAATTGTGTTTTGTCCACAGAACGTGCATACCATTGATATGGATGAGTTTAAGAGCACCGGAACAAATGTGACCGCCTTGCACCTTGTGAACCAGGAACCATGGACTACTCATGACGTCACAGGCCAATTGGCGCCACCCCAAACGTTACAGGTGAGTCAAAGGCTCATGATTAAGGCAGTCTTAACTTAGTCAGTATTTGATATGTGTGCTCCCAATTGTGAACTGCCTTTTATTGCGCTATATCCCAGAACGCCCCCAGTCGGTGTGAGCCGCCCTCTATGTCCCGGAACCGCACCGTCCGGTGGCAGCCGCCCCCTGTAGGCCGGCGCTGCACGGCTCGTTGGCTGTTGGTGAGAGGGCGCCCCGGGAGAGCTTTGTCGGCTGATGAGCTGGCGATTTGACCCAGTGCGAGCTTTTGTGTGTGGGCTCCGCATTTGACAAAATCGCTTATATGTATGTCCCGAGACTCGAGAGTACTTGCTTACGATAAAGCCCTGTAACCATTTCACCGCCTTACAAATTCAAAGAAGTTGTGGCTTGTTCAAGGAGCTTGTTTAAACAGGACTAACACTTTGTTTGGTCCCGATATGCTCTAAATTCTTCCATTTAAACGTCCGCGCCTTCATTTTCAGAATGGATCATATGAGACCCAGCACGTGAATCCGTCAAAAATGCTGGTGAGTTCTTACACCTTGCATCTCCGAATTGTTTTCTCGATAACGGGTCAGCATCAACTATAAAAACCGCAATGCCAAGTAGAACATACCTACCAATGAAGTGCCTGTCAAGTGCCAGCAGAGCATACCATATTCGCTATAGTTGAGTCATGTATGTGACGTGAAATGGATAGTCATGTCATATGCCTGTTGACTCATGTCCCGCTGGTGTTTGACGCCGTGTCCCGCTGGTGTTTGACGCCGTGTCCCGCTGGTTTTTGACGCCGTGTCCCGCTGGTTTTTGACGCCGTGTCCCGCTGGTTTTTGACGCCGTGTCCCGCTGGTTTTTGACGCCGTGTCCCGCTGGTGTTTGACGCTGTGTCCCGCTGGTGTTTGACGCCGTGTCCCGCTGGTGTTTGACGCCGTGTCCCGCTGGTTTTTGACGCCGTGTCCCGCTGGTTTTTGACGCCGTGTCCCGCTGGTGTTTGACGCCGCGTCCCGCTGGTGTCTGACGCCGTGTCCCGCTGGTGTTTGACGCCGTGTCCCGCTGGTTTTCGACGCTGTGTCCCGCTGGTGTTTGACGCCGTGTCCCGCTGGTTTTTGACGCCGTGTCCCGCTGGTTTTTGACGCCGTGTCCCGCTGGTTTTTGACGCCGTGTCCCGCTGGTTTTTGACGCCGGGTCCGGCAGACGGAGGCGGCGCTGATGTTTGACGCCGTGCTAGTGCTGGCTCGTGCGCTGCGTCAGCTCGGCTCGGCGCTGCGCGTGCGGCCTCTGAGCTGTGACCAGGAGAAGGGCTGGCAGCAGGGAACCTCGCTGGTCAACTACCTCAGACTGGTCAGTACGTGAGCCAACGTCCGACGATCACATTTCATCTATGGCAGTAGGTGTGATCGTGAATGAGACATCCTTCTGGTGGCGCTGAATGTGATTGTGACTGACAGCGTTAACGAGGCTTATTGTGCCGGTGGTTTGTTGTATCAATTTTCTCCGCTCCGGTGCAGCTTGACCCTGTCCATGTAAGTACTTACTGACCCGTAAAAACTGTCTCTATTTTTGTCAGGTGCGTCACACGGGTCTATCGGGACCGATCCAATTCGACCGGAGTGGTCGGCGCACCAACTTCACGCTCTCCATCAGTGAGCTGTCGGAAGGGGGACTGACCCCCGTGGGCCACTGGACCCCCGCCGGAGGAGTTCGGTACTCCATAGGGGACAGGATGACGGAGATCGAGCGCAGTCTGCGCAACAAGACGCTGGTCGTCATTACCACTGTGGTCAGTCCGCGGGCGTGTCTTGTCGGTTTGCTTCGAGGTTCGAATTGACCGCGGGACTTGAAACAGAAAACTGCTATATGTTTTATTGCTATCTTTAATTTTGTTTCTCAGGGAAAGGTGTGTCTGATGTGTCTGATGTACCTGATGTGTCGAATGTATAGATGTGCCGAAAGTGCCGTGAGTCTTATGCATAGAATGTGTCACATCTGACGTGTCGTCCGTCCTCAGAACGAGCCGTACGTGATGCTGGTGAACGAGTCGGACCCGTCGCTCACCGGCAACGCTCGCTTCGAGGGTTTCTGCATTGACCTGGTGAACGCCATCGCCGAGCTGCGCCACTTCCGCGTGCGTTTCGTCGAGTGCGGCGGCTACGGCGGCATCGACCCGGTGACCGGCGAGGCCAGCGGCATGGTCAAGGAGCTCATGGAACAGGTCCGAGTCGAGCTGCGCTGAGCGGGCGCTGTCTGTGTGTTTGTGTGTCCCTCTGCCCGTCTGGCACGTCTCTCCCTCTCCCCTCTCTCTCTCTCTCTCTCTCTCCACTCTCCTCTCCTCTCTCCTCTTCTCTCTCTCTCTCTTTCTCTCTCTCTCTCTCTCTTTCTCTCTCTCTCTCTCCCTCTCTCTCTCTTTCTCTCTCATCTTTTGCCCGTATTATTTGATTATGTTGTTCTTGCTCCTGTTAATGTTCTCTTATTGTTGGTTGACTGATGTTGCCGGCACAGAACGGATGTTAATAGCTTGCACAAAGAAGTTATAAACGCTTCGTCCTCCCCCCCCCCCCATCGTTTCCCTTTCGCAGAAAGCTGACATGGCCGTAACCGATCTCACCATTACTTATGAAAGGGAACAAGTGGTTGATTTCACAATGCCTTGGATGAATTTAGGTAGGTGCAGATATTTTCTTTTTGCCCGAATGAATAAGCTTCATTTGTTGAAATTAGCTATGAATTTGAATTTACTTTTAGCCTTTGATTGCAGTGGACACAGGTTATTACATGTAGAGCTTTTCGATTTTAGTTAATTCATATAGACCATTTCAAGCAATTAATTAAGTTGAAGGAATTAATTATTATCTTTGTATGTTGGCTAGCAGTTTCATACCTTGGTGCCTATTCGGTTACCAGTTTTATTGAAGCATTTCTCGCTTGTCGCAGGTATTGGCATTTTGTACACGTTACCCCAGAAGGAACCACCGCAGGTAAACCCAGACGGGACTGATTGAATAACTTATTTAACCGGTATCATCGACCTCTGCATACCTGGCCTCTGACCTGTTGCATGCAGAGTTCTATGCTGATATCTATAAAACAAAGCACAAACACTGGACGATGTGATGCCTTTCTAGATTTTTAACCTCTAAGAGGTGCATAAACGTTCAGAAATTTGCTACATTTTTTTTGTCACTGTATTTATTTATATATGTAGGTATGTATGCACAGCGCGAACCGTTATGTTTATCGATGCGTTCCGTTTTCAGCTGTTCTCGTTTCTGGCACCTCTGTCGCTGGAGGTGTGGCTCTACATGGCCGCCGCCTATCTGGGCGTCTCCGTGCTGCTGTTCGTGGTAGCCAGGTGAGGGGCCACACAGCGAGAGGAGCCAATTGACAGTCGCCCAGACAAATGAAAGGTCACTTAGTCAAGTAGATGATCATCCAGCGAGAGGTGACAGTCACCAAGACAGCTAACGGTCACATAGCCAGGTGAAAGGTCACCCATACATGTGAAAGTCGCCCATCGTTGGAACGCTGGGACTTACATCGCTCCGGGACTGGATCTCCTTGACAGCTTGGTCCATACGAAAAAAAAAATACAGCCATCGTGATAGCACCCAGTCGCTTGGTCGTCTCGGTTTTATCCCCTGTCAGACGCCTGTTGGCTGGCCGACAGGTTCATTTCGTACGAGTACCCCCTTGCACCCGTGTCGGGAGGTTCAGTCAATCACCCCCCACACCCGTACCGCAGGTTCAGTCCGTACGAGTGGGAGGTTCCTCACTCGTGTCGGCAACTTCAGTCACCCGTTCCTCGTACCGCAGGTTCAGTCACCCGTTCCCCGTACCGCAGGTTCAGCCCGTACGAGTGGGAGGTTCCCCACCCGTGTCGGCAAGTTCAGTCACTCCTCCTCGTACCGCAGGTTCAGTCACCCCTCGTCCCGTACCGCAGGTTCAGTCCGTACGAGTGGGACGTTCCCCAGCCGTGTCGGGACCAACAGGACGTGCTGGAGAACCAGTTCAGCCTGGCCAACTCCCTCTGGTTCACCATCGGCTCGCTGATGCAGCAGGGATCCGAGATCGCCCCAAAGTGAGACCACCTCACTGCACCTTTGCGTTGCACGACTGTATGTAGTTCTCGTCAGAAACTACTTACATATAACGCTTAACGGGAACCTCCCACCTTCAAAAAAGTTAATGAATTGGCATGAAAGTGATGTCCCTTGGTTCAGAAAGAGCGAAAACGAATATCTACCAAATTTCATCGAAAAATATTCACCGGTTTTCAAGATATTAGGCTTTTACTTTTGTTTACTTTTTGGGATCTCCCCTGTTACTAGCGACTTTATTTGGAAGCAATAATTTGGCAGCCTTAAAGTGCGGCAGACGTTGCGCGCAAAGCAGCGTATACGACCACGTGTTAACGATGGTTTAAGTCTAAGATTTAAAAATCGTTAGATCTCCGCTGACGTCACAAATTCTAAGGGGGCATTCCAATGCATTAGCCCCTTAGAATCCGAAAACTGAAAGTTTGAAATTCCATATCTTCGAATTAAAGCATTTTTCGATGTTGTGAGTGCCCAAACCGGTATTTGCAGGCCATGGCCACCAATTTGGCTATCTCAACTCAAAACTAATGTTAAGGTGGGAGTGTCCCTTTAATTAATATAGCATTGGGTGTTGCTAAACATCAACAACGCTGACTGATTTATGGAGAGTATAACGTATAAAAAATAGAAAATAAGCGTAATATGCCTTCCTTTGCCACATTTGCCCAGATTATCCTTTCACATGTCCGGCTATTTTCGCAGTCGGCCTGCGTACGTACCTACAGTCCACAGCAGAAGTAATGTGGGGTTTCAGTCATGGGTATGTTCTGCTTCTGAAGCTTAGGAACGATTAGCCAGACTACAATGAAACTTTGAATGTAGCTTATATGTATCGTCACCCTTGCAGCTGCAACTTTAGCTATTGACATCTACTTTTTGATCACTCCGCATTAAACAATCGTCAGTCTAAGCCAACCGTTGAGATTGGTAAAACCCTACATTACTTTAGCGGTGGGCTGTACCTACGTTTGTCAAATTAGAGCCGAAATTAGATTCTCTGTTTCTGCCGTTCACAGGGCGCTCTCCACCCGGATGATCGCCGGTCTGTGGTGGTTCTTCACTCTGATTATGGTCAGTGGATACGACTGAATCATCGTATTGCCGCAGTTGCTAGTTGCGTAGGTACCTAGTTGCACATTCGCATGCGTGCACTCCTCGACGAGATGGGACTTCTATGTAAAATGGCTCCTCAGTGCCACAAGTAGGTAATCGTCACGATACAAATAACTAATTAGGGTTCACGAAAAACTCTCGACCTTATTGCTGGTCGGAACATGACCTTTCAGCCTGACGTCCCCACATGGCTATTTGTGTCCGTCTCCCCAGATATCGTCTTATACGGCCAACCTGGCCGCCTTCCTCACCGTCGAGCGGATGGTGTCGCCGATCGAGAGCGCGGAGGACCTCTCCAAACAGACCGAGATCAAATACGGAGCCCTCGTGTCCGGGTCCACTAAAAATTTCTTCCGGTGAGCAGCTCGGGGAACGCATGAGATCTATGGATAAATTAAGCATGAGCTAATCTCGTTCAATTAGGCATTTGATTTTGAGGTCTATAGGTATTGAATTTATGTTGACTGCATATTCTGCATAGTTATTCAAACCATGAGATGATATCCTTAAGAGACCGCCAATCGACCAACGTTGATCTGTTGCCATTCGGTGCGTGCAGCGACTCCAAGATCGCCGCGTACCAGCGCATGTGGGCGTTCATGAAATCGGCGCGTCCGTCCGTGTTCATCAACAAGTCGTCGGAGGGCGTGGAGCGGGTCAAACGCTCCAACGGCCTGTACGCCTACCTGATGGAGTCGCCGCAGCTCGAGTACGTGCTGGAGCGGAACTGCGAGCTGCAGCAGGTCGGCGGCCTGCTCGACACCAAGAGCTACGGCATCGCCCTACCGCCCGGTGCGTCCAATCTCTAATCTATCCGCCCCGAACGAAATGTTTTACCAGCCCGTGTGATGTTATGCATTTTCATAAAGGGAGTGTTTTATTCACATCTATATTACTATTTGAGGAGAGTGCGTCTGTCCGTTACCGAGGTCCCGACTTGGTGGTGCTTTGCGTGGACTACAGGCCAGACCGTTGCACCTAGCGCGGTGAAATTTGCACAACTCATAGATCAAGGATGCGCGACGTGCCTTTGATGGGTCTCAGCTCGATCGGATCGATAGCGAGCGCGTGGCGCGTGCCCAAAAAGTGCAAATTCGCGTCATAGACTTTACATGTATTAATCGGCTGGCAAAAACGGGCGAAAACAGCCAAATTTGCCCGACACGGGTCCGGTCCCGGTGCAATATCTCGGTAACCGTGGGCCCGACCGGTACGGGAAAAACAGCATCGTGTAGAGAATCGAACGGGCTATCGAATGGTGTGCGGTGCAGGGGTTGGCACGCGCCACTTGCACCGGGGAGGACACTTTCTTTTGAAAAATGGACGTTTTGGACGGATTTTGGAATTTATATTAATTTCAGGTGATCGTCAGACGGAATGAGTTGAAACAGCGCCTATTAGCAATAAAAATGTACCGCCTCTCATGGAAAAATTGTGAAAAGCTAATTGATCAAAAACAATGTGGAAAAAATCGCTGAATTAAATGGTATTTGTCCAAAATGTGTCACTAAATAATTACACGGATTTTGCTGCTTAACCTGATACGTTTGACAATTGAAAATGCTATCATTGGAAAGAGCATTCAATTCTCTCCAAGATCCAATCATCACGTTTGCATGACAAGCAACAGTATTCTTAAAAATATAAATGTTTCAAACCTTTGCAAAACGATTTTTAGTGAAAATTATCTACGCCTTTAATTTGTCATAAAACTACGCGCCTAAATTATAAAGCACATTTATTCATTTATTGACTGGCACTTCGGCCTGCACAGGTCATTTCGTGCCATTGCCCTTCATGTGATTATACATGGCACCAGACACAAAGCACATTTGACAGATTCTGAAGTGGAAAGCATGCTTATCAGACACGGGCACCTCGATGCGGTGGGTATTTTTTCCACAAACCAAAACGTTTAGCCGGCAAAAAGCAATCGACCGTAATGGATAGATAACCCAACCGACACAAGAACAACCAAACACCCACCGATCGAAAATACCCCTTTCGCGTTGCGGAGCACGCGGGTCACCCTAGTGCTTTGCTATCGAAAGTAAGCATAAACTTTAAGTTCAGCTTGCAATCGTAATATTACCTATCTAGCGCTGAAATCAATGACAGTTATTCATCCTACAAGTATACATATGAACTAATAGGTGTACATATATATTGCTTTTAAAATGAAATTAAAGTACTAGGCTTTTCCGGACAGTTTCGTGACTGTATTATTGTCACTTCGTCAGCGGCATACAAGTAGGTAATATAAACATTTTCGAAATCACATTTTCAAAACACAAGTAAATAAAGCGCCCTCGCTTAAATCTACACTTTTAAAATGTGTAGGTACTTTATACCACATTTATTCTTCTGCGTTTCAGGTTCACCGTATACGTCGTCAATCAGCAACGCAATTTTAATTCTGCAAGAAAATGGAACCCTACATGCGCTGAAAACCAAATGGTGGAAGGAAAGGAAAGGCGGCGGAATGTGCAAGGTAGGAAGAGCTGATGTTGTGCGACAGGACATGCCAGTAAACACGATTAGTTTTGTAGGCTATGCGCATTCCTTTATGTATATTGTTTTCAGAGTAATTTCTATGGGCTCGTTTCTTTCGCTGCAGCGGCGCGCCAAGAAGAGTCCGTCGTCGGCCAGCGAGCTGGGCCTGGACCAGGTGGGCGGCGTGTTCGTGGTGCTGCTGGCAGGCATGGCGGCCGCCTGCGCCGTGGCCATCGCCGAGTTCGCCTGGAGGGCGCGCCGCCTGGACCCCACCACTCAGGTGAGGGCCTTAACGGGAGAATAGCGGCTGACTTTGATTTTCGCAAGAGACGCGAACGCTACAAAACGTAAAAAGGCACTTACAATGCAAAAGAGTCCTGAATATTCACGGAAATGTGATGCAACCAACACGTTCAGCGCATTTTCGTGCCTCCGCAGGTGTCCCTGCTGGGAGAAATGGCGCGCGAACTCCAGTTTATGCTGCGAAGTCGGAGCTCCACCAAACCAGCGCGTCACCGACGCCCCCACATCATACTGACGTCCACCGACCTCACTGTGCCGTCACCATCCACATCGTGACGTCGCAGGCGTCCGCACATCATACTGACGGCAGCCGACCTCGGTGTGCCGCCAACATCTACATCATGACGTCATAAGTCGCCCCAGCGTCACACTGATGTCAGCCGACCTCAGTGTGGCGTCACCATCTCCATCAGGACATCCTTACTGTCTGCTCCTAGACGCCAGACAGACAGCTCTGTTCTTGCTGAAGACGCTTAGAAATTAGAACGCAAATTCACCTAAAAATCTGGCATTATTCAACACTTCATACTGCACTTAAAATAGTAGCGTAGGATACGTCGTACCTACCCACCAGTCATTTGGGATTTGTGTTTTGTAATTTGAGGTTACCACTTGTCAGACGCGGACAAGTGACAGGTGGATTGGTATGTTCTTTACGTTACGGATTGAACGATCAGAAAGTCGAGCAACTTTTGTATGGCTGATTTCATTGTGTAGCAATGGATGTGCTTTTTGTTATGTAGCCTGTTGTCGTGGTCGACGTGAATCATGAAAACTGATCAGCTGCGACGTGATGTTAATCTAAACACATGCAAAATACATATTCACTTAACCAAATACAAAGGGATACTTAACTTTGTAATAAACGTAAACGAAGGTAAATTACAATTAACGTTGAAATGTATGCCGGCCTTGGACTGACCTGCAGCAATACGAATGTTATCGCTAAAGGAGTGGAGTCATGCTTTGTTGTCTGAGCTAAGCATCATTTTTATGTTTCGACACGACCGGGCAAGAAGGTCATGGCATTTGTTTTACTCAGTCTTATGGTCAGGCACATGATACGCAAAATCACAAATGATAGTTGCTTGGGCACGCTGTGACAGTTCATGCACTGCAATATATATAAATCGCTTTTTGGCGAAGAGGAGGCACATATATACATAAAACAGACGGCTGGTGTCTGTGTCACGGTGAGTCGGGCCCGTTCACCGTTCAGGGACACTGGACAGAGTCTCCGTCGTGCCGCAGCAGTGGTATTCGGGCGCACCGTCTCGCGCGGGTCGGTCGTGCCGTCTCGCCTCCGTCAGAACCTGCGCAGTGCGCACAGACACTGCCGTGGGTCGGTCCGTGGTCGTGCCGTCGCCCGTCTCCCCTCCGTCAGAGACAGTACAGAGAACCGTGGGTCAGTCGCGTCACTGTCAGAGTTGCACAGACAGTCGTGGGTCAGTCGTGGATGCACAGACAGCCTTGTGTCGCCGCTAGTTGAGGGTCCCGGGATGGGGCTGCATACCGTCCAACTGATGACAGTCGCCGTCTGGAACGTCGCTCTTCCGGCGCTGATTACGGCAGTCGTCCTCCTGCTGATGTGAGTAACTATAACGCTAGTAACTAGTAACTATATAATAACTATTTTATGCACGCTCATTTTTTTGCAAAACAATTTATTCCTAAACAAATGGTTCAGTGATTGCTGTGAGTAGTTAGTTGTTTATTTTTTTTAAAGGAAATATAAGCGACTAATAAGATGCATTATTAGTCGCTATTATTGAACCTACTATTGAACGAACATTGAGAAAAGAAATGCATTACATAGAGTAAACGAGAAGTTATGTCCGTTATAACGATGCCCATAAATCGGCTCGAGCATGTAAAAGGTTCTACGCAGTTACCCAGCCGCGTTTTCTAGATCAATTACCCAACAACCACGCTGACCCGTTTATTTAAATTATTATTCAAAGTGACGTTTCATGGTTCAGCTGTAATGACTCCACGGGCGAGAAACAAGGGTTGGAGTCTGGACCACCGGTCAAGGTTTATTTTACGACAGAAAGTAACGCAAAAAACCGAACGGCTTTTTACAAAGTTTTAGTAACGTTTTCTAGAAAAGTTTCCAAATAAGGTTGTAAGTGTCAAGTGGTTGCGTTCAATTTTCAAATGGACCTTTATATTGCATATCCAGAACATGAGTGACGAGACATAATAAAATGCAATGGCATCACCCACCCTGCTGAAGTGACTCGCCCGTCTTTTTTTGCGGCCAGCCGGCGATGGCAGCGGTTCCGGGTGCTGCAGGGTCTGGGGTACCGGGTGCCGCCGCACAGCTTCCTGTACGGCCACGCCGACCGGCTGCTGGGCCGCTCCGGCCTGGACGAGGCCCGCCGGCTGCTGGCAGAGTACGGCGTGCGCTACGGCCGGCGCGGCGCCACCATGGCCGTCTACGTGGGCGCCACGCCGCATCTCTGGACCACCGACCCGGACCTGATCCACGAGCTGTGCGTGCGCCGCGCTGACCAGTTCCCCGACCGGCCGGCCAACGGTAGTCCGCTGACGGACGAGCTCCAGCAGACGCTGCTCACGCTGAAGGGGGCGCGCTGGCGGCGCGTGCGCTCCGTGCTCAGCCCGGCCTTCACGGCGGCCAAGCTGCGCGGCATGGCACCGCTGATGGCCGACGCGACCGGCACCTTCCTGCAGTTGCTGGAGGAGGACCGGGCGGCCGGCCGCGCCTCCGACTTCTACTCGGGATTCCAGCAGCTGACGCTGGAGGTGATCTGCCGCGCGGCGCTGGCCATGGACGTGCGCTGCCAGCGCGACACGCGCCACCCGCTGGTGCAGACGGTCAGCGCGCTGGTGGCCGGTGTGCCGCTGGTGGCCCGGCTGCGCCAGCTGCAGCCGCTCACCGGCCTGGTGCGGCCGCTGCTGCGCGCGCTCGGCGCCACCGGCCGGCTGGTGCGCCACAATGAGACCATGGCCGCCTGGCTGCGCGGCGTGGTGGCGCACCGGGAGGCGGCGGCCGCCGGCCCGGAGACGGCGCTGCCCAAGGACGTGCTGCAGCTGCTGCTGGACGCGCGCCGGTCCTCCGCCGACCGGGAGCCGCTCTCGGAGGACGAGCTCATCTCCAACGCCTTCATCTTCGTGCTGGCCGGCTACGAGACCACACGGACGGCGCTGTCGTTCACCTCTTACCTGCTGGCTGCCCACCTGGCGGTGCAGCAGCGGCTGGGGGCCGAGGTCACCGAGCAGCTGACTGCCGGGCCGGACGGTGAGCTCGACTGCGAGCAGGTGCTGTCGCTGCCCTACCTGGAGCAGGTGGTGCAGGAGTCGCTGCGCCTGTTCCCGCCCATCCCGGCCATGTTCGGCCGCCGCGTGGCCCGGCCGGCCGAGGTGGGCGGCGTGCACGTTCCGGCCGGCGCCGTGGTGAGTGTGTCCGTGTTCTGCCTGCACCGCGACCCGGAGCTGTGGCCGGAGCCGGAGCGGTTCGACCCGGAGCGGTTCAGCGCCGCCGGCCGCGCCCGGCAGCAGTCCGGCGCGCACCTGCCGTTCGGGCTCGGGCCGCGCCACTGCATCGGCAGCCGGTTCGCGCTGCTGCAGATGAAGCTGGTGCTGTGCCACCTGCTGCGCAGGTACCGGCTGCTGCCGCCCCTGGAGCCGCTGGAGCCCGTGCTGGCGGCGCCCTTCCTGGCGCCTGCCTCCGGCAAAATCGAGCTGCGCGTCGAGCCCCGGTAGTGATCACCAGGACGTGACTGCACGGGACCATAAGTCATAACCATAAATGGGCGTGTCGTGGAGGATAAAATCTTAAATCACTGTATAGGGACGAGGGTTGCACGTTCATGTTTATCTGTGTATGTAACCAGTGTTAAGGGCCGGCTTGCAAATACACGAAACAAATACAAATATACGATGGCTTATGCCTTCCGCACGCGACTGTCAGACGTGGTGAGGATCACGAACTTAGGATGTCACCACTCCCAGGCAGCAGTATCCTATCGAGGCGGCCAGGCACACCTGAGGACCGTGTTTGGGCCGTCCGATTTCGATTCGACCCACTCCGTCGCCCGCGGTACCGGATGTTTGGATGCTGCACACCGGCCCGACGGCAGCGGTCGTCCCTCCGAACACGCGACCGCCGCCGGAGAGACCTTCATTCACCGTTTTTGTGCGCGTGCTGCGGGAGCACAGCGTGCACTTCCGAGGCCGCGGGCCCGTCATTGGTGTGCTGGAGAGCGTGAAAAACACGCAGTGGCGCCAGTGGCGGATCCAGGGGAGGGCAAAATGGGCATTTGCCCTCCCCAAAGCCAAATCGTGTGGGCAAGACTATCTTTTTGCCCCTTCCAAAGCATGTAGCGATGAGCAATTCTAATACGGCGTCGATGCCTATATGGACGAAAAGCAGGGCTTCTTTCCGTGACGGCCATTCCGAAGGAAGGAGCTGACCACTGGCTGCTGATATTTTGGGTCGATATGCCAGATATTAGATTAAGCCCCTGAACTGAATGCATGCATAAGCATATGCAGTGTGGCCAATGGCCATGGTGTGAGGTAACACGGGGCAAGATGCCCAGTCGGGTAAGACGCCCACCACCCTATATTCGAAATCACCTAAGCAATCCACAGTTTTGTCATTTGTTGGGAGCCTCATTGCTGTGGAGCGTTCCGCGTAAAAAAACGGCGACATGCCTAGCCGCCATTTTAAACCTATTTTTTGCATATCTTCTGAAAATGTCAGACCAAGGTCTCTCAAGGTCACGAAGTCACTAAGCTGCACGTCAAGTGACATAACCTAAAAACAGTTCCAATCAGGGCTGCGGAGTCGATGGATTTTAGGGTGACTCCGACTCCGACTCCGGCTTCAAAAGTCGACTCCGACTCCGACTCCAACTCCGACTCCGACTCCGGACGGTTCTATTAAAATCTATATAAGGATATTGAAGTTCATAACCGGGAGACGTTTTTATCTTGCCTGAAACGATCCCTTGCGCGTTCCAAGGCTTTGCGTTGCAAATATGCGTTACAAATAACATGCAGAATTAAAAAGCAGTTTCTGGGGAATTCACAGTCTTCTGCTTCTTTCGCTGAAAACGTTCGTCCAAAACAGCTGTATGGCCTTTTTTCGACAAAATCTCATTCCGAGCGCAGTATCGTCAATCAGACAGGTGCAGTGCATAACGTTAATACATGCAGCGTTAACTCCGACTCCGGAGTCGGAGTCGGTAAGATTTTGGCGACTCCGACTCCGACTCCGACTCCAAGCAGAACTGTCGATTCCGACCGCCTCCAACTCCGACTCCGACTCCGCAGCCCTGGTTCCAATGCTTGCCATAGCTAAACCGAGTGACGGATCGCTTTGAAACTTTCAGCAGTTAATAAGGGTAACAGTACCTATGTACAAAATGTTAGTCACATGGTTTTTATATCGATTACCTAGGGCTAGGTCATTTTTGCGACCTCTCCACTATAAGTCAATAAGAGAAAATTGAAAGGCACCTTTTTTGGACAAACCTCCTGTCCGGTAGCTCAGTTGGTAAAGCAATGGACTCCCGGTAGTGAGAGCCCGGGTTTGAGTCGCTCCGGCGCTCGATATTTGAGACTCCTGACGGGGATGGTCTGCGGTTGGTGGGAGCAGCCGCAGCCAATCAAAGTCAGGAGTGATACAGGCCGTGTCTGGCTTTGAAGGGCACGTTAACTTTGGCATCTATGTAAATTCTCCTGTCGCCCGGAATTACGCGATCGGACGGTAGAGGTCGGGCTCTACGCAACAAGCTCTGCTTAGCGTAGGCTCCGGCTCCCGTCAATCCGCCCTTTCTAACATTCGTGCTAAATTTATAAGAAACGTCACTCTTAACAATACCGAGTTACAACCTAAACAGCACACAGTGAACCGGAAAATAGCACCCGTGACCCCTCCTTATGTCCCTGAGATCATCTCAGGTCACGAAAGATATGCAATAGTTTGCAGCAATTCGCTAATAACTTCTGCTGGAGGCATTCTAGAGCAATAGAAACACCTTAGATTTTTTTAGCTTTACGATACGGATCGACTGATATGCAACACGACCTTTTCCGGTCAGGTCATGGCTTGACCAAATGTCAAAGTTGTAAGTTCCCTTTTTAAGATCAATTTATAACTCATTCGACGCGTCTTCGCGAGAGGAACACGATGCCGGTAAAAGTATGATCGCACAAGGTTTGATTCAAAAGTTATCGCAGAAAATCCGTTCCCGTAAAAATAGTATATATTATGGCACTGGCAGTTTCCCCTGGAGGCTAAACCGTTGATCTTAGGTCCAATCTGAGCGAATTATCCAGAAAGAGCAGTAACAGTGCTATCAAATTAGCTTTTCTGGGGCGCTCTAGCTCTGTTCGTTTCCGAGTTATGCGCCAGTTCTTCAAAAATTGTCGAAACTGGACCTAAATAAATATTATCGGGATTTGGCCTTTGATGGGCTCTGGTGATCTGACATCTGACCTGACCTGAAAAGTGACTGGGGTAATTTGGTCATTATGTTTGACACTCCTTCAAACGCCGCCTACCGCGTGTTGCTACGTGGCCCAGGAGCCGAGTTAGAAGGCATATGGGTGTTCAAACATCCCCCAGGGGCATGAAAATCCAGGAGCCCCAGCGCGGCTGGGCACGGGTTAACATAAGACATTTTACACCTACGGTAAGATGGTGTAACTGGCGTTGTGAAGTAACTTGGTCACTGGCGCGGTGGTGGGTCGGGGTCGCCGATGGTCGGCTAAACTTTTGCCCTCCCCAAACGGATCGGCTGGATCCGCCCCTGAGTGGCGCGGTCAGGCATATAGGCGCACTCGCGACCCACTCACGACTTAACCAAGGCCCTAAATACAAGGTTGCACGGACTGATTTCTACTAAATCTACCAGAATATAGTTTACCGGTTGGGTATTTTAATAACTATTCAATCAAAACATCTTTATTATTTTCTCGTTATCATTCATAAGCAATTTTATAAATTGACTTTCAATTTGCTTGCCTTTTACTGGCAAAATAACTTTCTAGTATTGGGTCAACATAGTTGTGTAGCAGTAGGAACCATATCTGGCAAAACCCCAATGCCTACATACAGCAGAAAAGCAGCCACCAGGTGTCGCCACAGTCGCCACTTGGTCGCCACACAGATGTCGCGCGCGTCGCCAATCGCCACACTACCGATTTCCATAAGGACGCATATGTACGGATATGTATTGGAAAGTCGCCCTTAAGGATTACGCTTACATCCTTTGCTTATGAGGTCGGTGGTTGGAAATTGGGAGGGGCTCAGCTATTTTCGACCACGGATATGGCTTTATCACATGATGAGGAACATGCTGATAAGCGTTTTATGTGTCATAACAGCACATAAGTATTTTTAATCATTTTTCAAAAATAGCCAATTCGCCGTATCCTTCAGTGCAAAGTGCCGTCGGTCAGTCCCGACGTGACGTCACGCAGGGAATTTGCCAGATTTTCCTACTAGACTTCGACACCCCCTGGACTTAACTATCTAAACGAGCTCGGGGACGACCCAGCTCATAGGAAAGGCGGGAAATTTGCATCGCATCACTTTGTACCTAGCTTGATACCTATAAGCACAAATTCCATTACCTATCGCCTGCAATCATGCTGATTGGTGGCTGGCGAGTGAAAGGCCAAGCCCCAAGGAGAGATCCGTTCCAGGGCGAGAGAGAAGCCTACCGAGTAAGTATGTACCTACAATACAAATCGTCAGCCTACCGGGACCGACCGCCGACCGGTAGAGCTTCGGCTTGTCAGCTTCTTCTCCAGCGTACCTACATAAGAAAGACAGTGCAGCTGTTTAGGTGTGCCAATTCTGAAAAATGTGTTCGGCCAGACGATATCCCCAAATGTGTGGTATTTAGTTCTTACTCCGAAATGAAAGCCCTTGTAATAATATCATTTGTGACGGACCAAAAAATATGTACCGATGAAGGAAAAAGTGCTTCCAAATACTGATATGTTAGCAATTACATATGTGACAGTTCTCGCGCGGATGACAAATTATTACAAATCAGTTCCAGTAGTGGTTCCAGTGTAAAAATTGCGAATGGCGCTGTGTGTGTGTTTGAACTGAAATAAATATTGATATATTGATATTGGATGTTCCTTTCGTTCCTTTTAGTATATTGAATTGAATGGAGAGCGACGGCTGATTTGAGATATTTATTTCCAACTGCCCTTTATGTATGAATAATGTAAATAAAGTGCATATGCATTGTGCATAGTGGTTCCCAGATCATGTGCCATCCTGAAATAACTATGCCTGCATGGAAGGATGTGCACCAAATAAATAAATAATGTAACAGCTAACAACCGTAACAGCTGACTGACAAGTAAGGAACTGAAACCAATCATCCGTGTCCTGACCTGACTCAGTTTGAGTTATGATCGATTGGATCAAATGTTCAGCCAGCTTTCACAGTTATAACTTATTGATAATTGAATAATTTATTAGTAGGCTGGTACACTATGAGATATAATGAGTGTTGAGTGTTGTTTTCTTGTGATCGCATGACTGACTATAATAAAGTGATGCATATTTCGGCTTCATTGCGACCAACTTTGGTGATGGCGTTGCCACTATTAGGCACTGATATTAGCACTTTCATATACATTTAAGCATTGATTGTTGGTGATATAAATTGAAGTATTGCTGATCAAGTATTATGTACCAGTGAGTGCCCATCAAAGTTTTATGTCTGAGTTTTTTCCTTCTTAAATTAGAATTATAGTTTGGATGTCTGTTTAAACCCTGAAGTCTTGTGTCACATGTTTTCTTTGGAGGTGCCTATGGATGGTAAATGTAAGCCTACCTTCTTAGTACCCTAGCTAACTATCATGTGTTGAGACTGTTGGCTCGCAGGTTTATCAGAAGAATGACGTAAAGAGTAATGGTACAGAGTACAACTACAGACAGTCCACTGCTGAAATAATGTGACGTGTCAATGTGTCAGTAGTGGTTAAGTTTTGCTTCTGTACCCTTGGAACAATTTGTCAGACTACCGTGAAACTTGGAATGAAGCTTACAAGTAGGTACCATCATCCTTGCAGGTTCACACTGTACACTCATCTCTTGCTGTCTTCCTCTGGATCACTGTATTTAAAAATCATCAGTCAAAACCATCTGCTGAGATTGGCAGAACCTAGCATTGCTTAAGCTTTGGGCTCTACCTGCAGCCAAATTAGTACAGGTCAGTGCTTGTGCTGACCAGTGGCACTGGCAATTGAGTGGGATGCATGGGGCTGACTGTAGGTATCCATCCTTGTTGTGTCTTCATCAAAATTCAAACCTATGGCCTTTTCTAATTAATTGAATATGCTTGAAATGCTGAAAGTGTTCTAATATTGTTGAATATAGAGCGTTAAATGTTAACCAAATATTGATACATTATCCTGATGGAGCAAAGAACTATTCAAAAAGGCTTCTTTAACCTACTTACTTAATTCAGAGTGAATTCTGATTCAGATCAAATTCAGATTGTGAGTTAAGATTCTCATTCTGAACTGAGCCAACACCAAGATTCAGTCTCAGGGTGAAATGACTGGGCCCTGATTAATCATTGTTCGCTGAATTGGAAGAATGTAAGAAACATAGTGAATTTCTGTGATTGCTTTGAGCCAAAGGGGGTGGACTGGTCGCTGCTCTCTTCATCGTGTTGTATCAAGGGCCTGCTAATTTGATGACTTTTGTTTTATGCTCTGTTCCAGGGTTCTTTTGAAGACTGTGTATTCAAAACTTCTTCAATATGGGTAAGAATGACTGATTGGAACTGACTGTACTAATTTGTCGCTGGTAATATTGGGCATGCTCAGATATGTTATTGCTGGGAAGTAAAATGTTTTCATTGAATGTGGCATTGTCTGATGTGATATTTGATTAAATGATCAATATCAAAATGAGACCAATTGAGGCAGGCTCTTTATAAACATTATGCCTGACATGGCTGACATAGATTACATATGTCTGACAAACTCCATGCAGCTTCAGAGTTCAGACCACTATCCCCAGGGACTAGGATGCTGGTTCTTTTTTAAGCCTTTTTGGAGTCAGCTGATAGCTAGGATAGGCTGACAAAGACTGTTCATTGCTTAGTGCTCACTACCAGACATGTCTAATGACCACACAGAGCATGATGTAGCAAAAATCATCAGACAGACCTGTCTTCAGTTTTAGCTTTATAAGGCCACATGTGTAGTTTTTTGTCAGGTGTATGGTTCAAATGTATTGAATCGACAGATCTACAAAGTCAATGCCCTTTTAGCTTCTCACGTTTGATTGTGATTGAGGGATGCCAATTGTTGGATGATTCAGAAACACTGTCACTGTCGGCCCCACTGATAATCCCCGTCAGTGGGGACACTGTCGGCCCCACTGGTATTCCCCGTCAGTGGGGCCGACAGTGGGGTCCCACGGACACTGTTGCTGTCAGTGGATTATCAGTGGGACACTGTCGGCCCCACTGGTATAATCCCCGTCAGCCGCTGGAATTTCATATGTCGAGTACACGGTTCTCACCACTAAAATTACATTACGACGCTGTACCAGCCAGGTAATGGGCATTTTAATCATATGACATTTGTATAAAATTCAACTGGTCTGCTGGCTTGGAATTCTTGAAAATTTAAGTTTTTGAGAGAATGATTTGAGCCCTTTTGAAATATTCATTTTCCTTTCAGACATGTCTGGTGGCCATAAGCTGATATGCATGATTTGCAATGCATCCAGCGGCAGCCACTATTTCGGCATAGGGCAGAACCTGCTGCCTGGGGGGAAGTCTGTCAGTGACCGGCTGAACCGCGTGCTGTCGGTGGACCTGGACCAGTGGAGCTCCCCAAGGTGAGAGCGTGGGGGTACAGGACCGTTGGAGCTCTCCAAGGTGAGTGCGGAGGGGTGCGGGGCTCCCCTGGGCGTACAGGACCAGTGGAGCTCCCCAAGGTGAGAGTGCAGGGATACTTGACCGATGGAGCTCCTCTGGGGGTACAGGATTAGCGAAGCTCCCCGAGGTGAAGGTACTACAGGGGACACTGGACAAGTAGAGCTCCCTGGGCCTGAGGTGAGGTACTGCAGGGATAGATCAAAACCACTTCCTGTGCTTATGCTTCATGATCCGAACGCCGATCAATCGATATCAAGCTGAACGTCTCCGTTATGGAAAGTTGCGAGAGATCCTGTTCATTTCTGACATGATTTGTCCCGTAGGCTCCTGGCACTTCCTGTTCCATTTGCTCAACCGTTTGGGTCAGGGGTTGGCTAGACTTCCCCTTACTATTTCCTGGGAAATAAAACAAATACTGCGTGGGAAAACGAGCCCACTGCTTGACATCCACGACTTGATCTTTTATTTTGAGTTTTGACCGATAACGCTAAACGGCATTGGGCCACTCGATCAGTGTGTCAATGCATTTGCATAGCCAAACTTGATCTTTGTTAACGTGAATGTCACATTCGGCTTTGTCTTAGGAATAAGCTCAAGTTAACCCTCGCCGGCACAGGGGGGGGGGGTTGATGCAACCCCCCTAAGGTTTTTCGCGAATAACTCGCGTAAAAAGCGGCCGATCGCGACGAAACTTTCAGTACATTCGCACTGATCAATTGTACACCTACCCTGAAAATTTCATGACCCTGACCCCAATGACCTTTGACCTGTGACCTCTTTTCTGTGACCATGTTTGGACGAAATCGCGGTTCGGCGCATGTCGGCTCGCATTAGCCGCGCGTTTGCAAGCTTTTCGTGGTTTCAAACGTTCAAACATGTGATTTGATGTTGCTCCCATGCATTAGGGTGGGTGTCAAGGTCACCTGAAGGTCAGGTCAGGTCCTTGACCTTTGGTGACCTCGGGTGACCTCGGTTCACTTTTTCGAGTTTTACATGTTTCTAGGCTAGTTTTTGGAGCTGAATTCGAATTTAGCAACCATTTGAACATTTACGAAGTAGTTTTGGTGCCTTCGTAACATGTTACGAAGCTGTCCGAGGCGGTTGACACGTATTACGAATACCCGTCACAACCCCTACCGGTTGACCTGACCTGACCTGACCCGACCTGGTCTAAATGCTTCAAGACATCATCTCTGATCAAAACTAACACGATATTCGTGATCAGCACCCCGGAAAACCACATGGCAGCCACACTTTACGACTTTCTAACAGGTCCCGATTTTCCCGGTTTTCGGGTCATTGACCTGACCTGGAAGGTCACCCGATGACCTAGTACCTTAAAATTAGGTATCATCGGCTTCCTCTCGTGACGGGCAACACGCTCGTTTTTTCCGCGAAGCTCTAGCTCGATCAGAGGCCAAACGCGAGGGGGGGGGGGGGTCGTACCAACCCCCCCCCCCTTGTGCCGTCGAAGGACTCAAAATGGCCTGTGCCGGCGAGGGTTAAGGTTACGTATGGGTAGGCTAGGCCATTGAAGTTTATTTATGGTGTTGAGTGTAATTTATTTGGTCATTGTAAACAATTTAGTAGTTATTGTAATGTTAAGCTCAATGCACATGATCATTGACAAAAGCTATCGACAAATTCTGGCGTTTATCACTGCAAATTATCGCCAAAGCTATCGCCATAGGGCATCGCTGCCCGTCGAGCCGGTCGTTTGCTGAAAATGTTAATGCGTGCTGCCTGGCTTTTCCTCAGACTTCTCCAGCCGCGGCATATATCAGTCTGATGTGTCGTATATCAGCGTAAAATAACTCCGCGCCTCACTACGTAGCTGATGTTGCGCCGAATAACAGTCCATTTTGTCCGTCAGATGGAATCTGATTCCTGCGTTGTCGGATTTTATTCAGTTGACGGCTTCACTCTGAACCCCATAGAGATCAGCCGTGGCGGCACTGGGGTAGAACTATTGATATTCTCGAATAGTCGGAGCTGAATGCAACACTCAGACTCTTCGTGTCGCCGCTTTCAAGGATAAATGCTCGTTGAAATTGATAAAGATCAAATCATACTCTCGCCCGTAATATTTCCTTGCGTATTTAAATACGTGGCAATAGTTACTAGACTGGACTGGTGGATGAGTCGGGCCCCCCTGGCGTGAATGTCACTGGTGCAAAGAGATTCGTACGAACAAATACCACCAGTATAGCGCCTTTTGGGGCGACTAACGGAGCGAGCGAGGGGGTGAGTCTTGCACGTGCGAAATTTCGTGGGGGTACCTCCAACTGACTTGTGCACGGCACCCTACTGACCGGTTTCTAGCGATGTGCCAAATTTGAGCACAATCGGCCCAGCCGTTCTCGAGATCTGGGAGCGGCACCCTGCACGTGCGCACGTGCAAAATGGGTCCCAACTGACTTGTGCACGGCACCCTACTAACTGGTCCCTAGCCGTGTACCAAATTTGAGCGCAGTCGGTCGAGCCGTTCTCGAGATCTGGAAACGACCCCTGCACGTGCGCACGTGCAGCAGCACCCCAACTCTGGCACATGAATATGCAGTGCCTAGTGGGTGCCTACCTACATGCCAACTTTCAGCGCAATAGGCCAAGTAGTTACCGAGATATTGCAACAATTACAAAACTGACACCTCTTCGTATTGCACGTGGCACGTGCATAAGGGGTCACCCAAATGCATCGGGAATAGTCCAATACTTGGTAGAAGGAATGAAGCTACCCTACAAAAATTACCGCATGTAAATCGGTCAAGTGGTTGCTGAGATATAAGCCTCGCAAAAGCGTCCGCACGGCCGGCCGGCCGGCCGGCCGCTCATAATCAGAAATTTCCGTTAATCTAAGGAAAGACTACGCTCGCTTCGCTCGCTCCGTAAAAAACATAAGTATATGCTAGGTAGGTAGCCTGTAGGTCCACCTAACTCATTACCGGGCATCTGACCTCTGATACACAGCGAGTAATTTCCAATTAGGTATCTTATCAGTTCTGATTGAGGGCAATGTTGATACACATGTGAATCACTCTTGTGCGTAGACTGATCCGTTTCAGTTCATTTGCATTCACCGAAAACCTTTAAATAATGCACGATGCAGTCGCATTGATGCCGGGCCCCAGCAAATCACTCACCATTGAACCTACGGCCGGTGCGGACGACATTTCGTAATTCGAAAACACTCCATCTTTTCCGATGGGTCTGAATTGATCCCGCGTGCTCATTGCACTGTATCCTGTTTTGTGAAAAGACAGACCCTTTCAAAGTTGCACAAGGAGCACCGGGCTTGCTTTCACGTAGCTTTCACCCAATTCAGATACATTGCACATTAAACAGCCTTGTGGTTGTGAATAGACTGACTGGTGTTCATAGAGTTTCGGTCACTTCTTTGCAGGGAAGTGCGAGTTAATGTAAGCTTCGTGAGCGTTTTAATCGATGTCATTCTTTGGTTCGTCGAATTCAACATGAGCTAAATAGGACGTGTGTGTGTGTGCATACCTACTGTACGTGGATAGATGAACCGTCCGTCCGAAAATAATATAATAACCTAAACTATTATTACCTTTATTATTTACACAAAGTTGCACGGAAACTGTTGAGATTGCACATTGGTGGTCAAAACAGAATGTATGATTAAATAATTTGGCATCACTTGGGGGCTATAGATAGACTATTTGTGTACGCTGAAGCTCACAATATCCAGATTTAAACTGATTTTACTATAAGATAGTGCTGAACTTAAAGGTAGTGTGCCAGCTTTCCTGGACCGTATGGAGTTTATGGCCCAGATAAGGAGAACCGGATTTTTAGAACTTATCCATACCTTCAAAACTCATGGAAACGTCTTAAATTCTTCAAATTTTGAGTACCCCAGTGCGAAATTCGCCCCGACGGGTTGTCGGTCGTACCCCAACCACATTTCACACCACTATGAACAATAAATGCACACACTGAAATCGCTATTACCGATATGCTTATCCAATCAAGTTTCGATAAACCCGTTCATCATCATCTCCTGCGGTTTCGAACACGCCTGTTAGGTGGTGCGGTAGACCGCGCCCAAAGCCAGGGCCCCGGTAACGTGAGGTAGCCGAGTCGGGGCAGCGTGCGCTGACCCAAGCCGGGGCCGCGCGTCCTCCCGGTGTCATATGATAGCCCGGGGCTGCCCGCGGGGATGCGGTAGACCGCGCCCAAAGCTGCGGCCCCGGCTTGAGTCAGCGCACGCTGCCCCGACTCGGCTACCTCACGTTACCGGGGCACTGGCTTTGGGCGCGGCTTCTGCTCATACTTTGTGGTGCGGTGGTGGTGCGTCGGGCCGCGCGCTCTGACTTCGGCCAAGAAAAATGCGTCAGCTGATCATTGTCATTTCTGCCACTTGCGTGTGGTGAAATGGGTCATAACTTAAGAGACGGCTTTTTCATATCAATTATTTTACATAAAATCATATTTCAAACCATAAACAATGTTCGACAGCCAAATAAAAGAAACAATACCAATACAGGCTTACAGTTTAAGGCTCGACATTGTGTTGCCTACGATTAGACAGCTGATAACTCATTCCCGTACGTCGTAACTCTATAATGACCTTTGCTTATTGTCACATGTGCGCCGCATTCGCGATTGTTGCCGACGCCTGTTTGCAGCTCAGTCCACTACAGTTGTTATACATATCGAAAAACCGATAAACTTTTAGGCGAAAAAGGCACTATTCCAGGCCCATTTTTGATTTTTTTTTTGCGATATTAGGTAAAAACAGAAGCTTCTTATCCTAGGAAAAATAAAATGGGAAATCTTTCAAAGGTGGCACACTACCTTTAATGCGACACTATTAATGCTTATGCATCGCAAACAGAAATTGATGCTGTCAGAATAGCAGCCGAGTTTTCAAAGGAGTAGAATACACCCATTTCAGTTATTGTAAGTCTTACATGCTATTTCAACTTGTTTATCTTCTCTTTTTGTTGCTGATTACTTCGATTGGCCGGAACCTAGCATTGAATGGTTTTGTTTTTTATATTAAAATGGGACCAAAGCAACCGTTGTTCTTGAATTGACCATTGCAGATCGTTGGGCTAAGGTCACGTTGGACCAACCAGAAGATGTCTAAGGTCAAATTTACTCCTATGGTCAACAATTTAGGGCCATATTTTATAGGGTAAAAGTGGTAAAGAAATGCTCGGCTTTGCAATCGATATCCTATCCCATTCGTGTGATACAGATTGGCCCATTCACTAATTGAGAGTCAAAGACAATCTGCCCCCAAGCTGTGTGGCCATCTTACACGAATAAATCCGTTAGAAGCCTTTTTGGTTACGAGTCTCAAGAACTAAGCATTGTTCCTTAGCTGTTTCCTGTTCCTGAATTGATTGTTCTTGGATCTAATTTCCTGAACGTCTGTTCAATGTGGCAGTGTTGCGTCTCTCTCTCTCTCTCTCTCTCTCTCTCTCTCTCTCTCTCTCTCTCTCTCTCTCTCTCTCTCTCTCTCTCTCTCTCTCTCTCTCTCTTTCTCTCTTTCTCTCTCTCTCTCTCTCTCTCTCTCTCTCTCTCTCTCTCTCTCTCTCTCTCTCTCTCTCTCTCTCTCTGCCGTCTCGCTGGATGCTGCCGAAAGTTTACCGTTTCTCTGTTTCAGTGACGTGATATGCACAGAATGTTTCCACCTGTTGGGCCGCATTGAGTACCTGGAGGTCCTTTTACAGGTGAGCACAGAGTCGGCTTAGAGTCGTACCTCTCCCGTATGGCCATCCCCATCGGCACTGTCTGACTGACCAGCTCCCGTCACCCAAAACTGTCCCGGCAATGGCGCCATGCGACATTCCGAGGCGGTAAATCCACAAACTAAAGTGGTCTTTTACAATCGTGCTGCCGCAATTTATGAAATATGCGCGCTCGTCACGCCAGAAACGTGTTCTCATGCTTCTTAGTGCTCATAAAGTTCAGGATAAATATTCAGGATCTATTTGGAAATGAAATCCTGGTCCGGGGCAGCCCTGCCACGATTTCTCGGGATATGATAATGCATATTATTGCACCTCCTACATTTTTGCTGGCTTCTTCTATGCGTGACTGACGACGGACCGAATAATAGCATTCTATCCATCAATTACGTCGTCCTGGCTGGGCTAATAGGCTCGCACCGAGACTTGTCGCCATAATTGTCTTTATCTCTGCTTCCAGGATACAACTAGTGACGTTATTAACAAGTTTTTGATAACTTGCGGCCAGTTCGGCCTGCAGTACCGGCTAAAGAAGTCTCGCACATACAACACGGTGAGTTGCAGCGCTTCATTTTGAACTTCTGCGCAGCCTGTGTTTGTGTTACGGTTTAGGTTTGCTGAGACTCTGGCATGGTGACTCGGTTTAGCCAGATATTCGCTGTCTGCTGTCTAGTCCGCATATGTAGTTGCTAATGCCATCATGGTTCCTAATTGCAGCTTTGTTATACCTGTGTAGAAACGGTTCACCATTTTTACCGTGATATTTTATATTAGGAACTGTTTAAATAATATAGTATGCAGCTTAATATTTAAACGCAGGTTTTTGGAGATAAGTTTTGGGCCTATCGTTAAATTTGGCTTTGATATCACTGGTCATTATATTTAAGTCCTGCCAGATGTGTCAAGGAATATTTTCAACTTTGCAGTTGTGTTTCTTACGTTTGACTTTCCTAATTAAGCAACGCATACAAAGTCCAATAATTACCCAACCATTGTCTTGCTAGATTGGTTTAATCATGCGTATCATTATTAGTCTCGCCCAGCAAATGCCTGTTTAGCGTGTCCTCCGATCAACTCCCCTCCCTGTTTGGCTGTGAAAGGCCGTCAACACCCGGGTTTATCTTCGCCTCCAGCTCTGTGCGAGCCACCGCTTCGTCAAACCCGAGTGGACGACGAGGGTCGTTTGGGAACAAAGGACAGGACGGTGATGATGGGGATGGTGGGTGGGCAAACACTCCGCGCACCCCTTGTACACCGCGGCTCGGCTCACACTGCGCGTGTTATCGGCCGACCACGGCGGGCCGCCGCGGTTCTGTTTGTTCTTCTCCACCCTTCTCGTTATCGCCCCCCCCCCTCCCCCTCCCCCTTCCCTGGACCCCACTGGCTCGGTGTCGCGTCGTGTCACCTCGGCCCGCTAATCACGATTCAACGTCCCGTTAATGCTTGATTAGCGTGTCCTCCGATCAACTCCCCTCCCTGTTTGGCTGTGAAAGGCCGTCAACACCCGGGTTTATCTTCGCCTCCAGCTCTGTGCGAGCCACCGCCAAACACCCCAAAGGAACCAAGGGTATGTGTATTCATACTAGATTATGAGCGCGTGTCCCGTTCACAGGGTTCACAGGCGGTATCCTGTCAGCACGTGGGTTCCACGGCTCGGGTCCTGTAGGTACTCCGCCACACACGATGGGGGCCGGACCGGACACTGGGCCGCCTGTGACCGCAGCCGCCGGAAACCGCGCCAAGTCGTGCCGACTGAGCGCGTCGGCCGCGCCGTTCTCTTTCGTTGCCACGTACTCGACGGATACAGCGAACTCATGGAACGCCGTCCAGAACAGGGGCTGACGCAGCAGCGCCATAATCAGTGGCGACCCCGACCATCCCCTCCCCCAGACCCCACCACCCCCATGTTATCGGACCGGATCAGCACGCGGTGCCCGCCCCATCCCTCTCCTCACACCAAACATGCCACCATGACGGGGGTGAGCTCCAGCCACGTCATGGATGGCGCGACGTCACACTGCAGCTCGCGGGGCCACTCCATCATCCACCATTCGTCTCCGTGCCACGCCCCCATCCCCCGACGTGAGCTGTCCGTGTTCATCACAATACAGTGGTCGTACTCGCCCGGTGGCGGGAGGGGGGGGGGGAAAGGCCGTTCCACATCGGCAAAAAGTGGCCCACCACCGTAAAACCGCCCGTACCTCGGCCGTGATCCGCACCCGGCGGTTCGGTCCGCTAACAGAGTGCGCCGCATCTAGCAGGCGTCTAGTGAACGCCCTCCCCGGCGGGACGCACTTGCTGGCGTGCACTAGACGTCCCACCACCGACAGCAGTTCCCGCTGTGTGCATTTCTGTCGCCCGAGCAGTGTCTTTAGTGACTCCTGGGTGCCCACTAGCTTGGCGTCTGGCAACGCTAGGGTCATTGTTTCTGTGTCGATCACAACCCGAGAAGCTCCATCCGTGTTGATGGCGGGGCGCATTTCCGCTCGGCCAGCGGCACGCCCACTTCCGCACAAATGTCTCGCAGTCTCGCATACGCTACGTCGGCACTGTCCGATCCTCCGCGCCCTACCCCGAAGAAGTCATCTAAATAATTGCGTATATACACGTCCGATGTCTGATCCTGGAACACATAGGCGCAAACATGTGGCAAAATCATTAAATTCCGTGGACTGCTTCTAGCCTCAAATGGCAGACAAACCTGGTAGTATAGTAAACCGTCCCAACAGAACCCCAGTAGCGCCCACTGGCCGGGCCGGACAGGTATAAGTTTGAATGCATTTTTAGCATCGGTCTGGAACAGCAAGGTCCCGGCGCCTCCAGCTAGGAAAATCAACCGCACGGCCTCGTCGAACGATGTGTACGTCACACGAAACTCGTCTGGGTCTATCCCGGCGTTGACCCCGACATCTCTCGACTGTGATAGATCTAAAATGAGCCGCACTTCGCCATTAGGTTTATCGCGCGCACTCAACGGGTTCACTATCATGTTCGGCAGCGGTGGAGCATGGAACGGTCCCCGTGTCGTACCGTCCGCGACCTCTCGCCGAATGGCTGCCGTCACCCCGGCACGGCGCCGTTCGGCGGACTGATTGTTTTTTCGCGAAACGGCCCCGCGCGCGCCGCACCGCGGTATCCAATGTCAGCCCCGTGCCGGAACCGCCCAACGACAGTTTCTCTGGCATCGACCAATTTCCACAGCCTGTCGCTTGGCTTCCACCCTTCTGCACTGTCGACGGCGTAGGATCATGCACGAGTCTAATTATGAATACGCCCCCGAAGTCAAGCCTAGGATTGTTTAATCGCAGTACCACAGCCTGCCGTGCCGGGCTATCTGCTGTTTGCACTTGCCTGACCGGCCCGCCGCGCCGGCGCCGCGGTGTGCGTTATGAGTCACGCAAGGTCGTCTTTCCGCGCGTCCGCCCGCTCGGCCGCACGTTCCCTTATCCATGTCGCCGCACCCCCCCCCCCCTTTCTCTCTCTCTCTCTCTCTCTCTCTCTCTCTCTCTCTCTCTCTCTCTCTCTCTCTTTCTCTCTCTCTCTTCCTCTCCCTCCTCTCTCTCTCTCTTCCGCCCTCTATCCTCTCTCTCTTTCTCTCCTCTCCTCTCCTCTCCTCTCCTCTCCTCTCCTCGCCCCTCTCCTCCTCTCCTCTCCTCTCCTCTCCTCTTTCCTCCCCTCCCCTTCTCTCCGTCCGTCCCAGGCCATGGTCCCTCCCTTGTTGGTCGGTTTGTTGGCGGTGTAGCTTTTATCGCCGCTACGGCCGCCCAGGCCGTAAGCAAATAGCCCACTGGGTCCACAGATTCCCCTCATGTCCGGCTTTCGCGTTTGACGCGAGCGCTAGTCAGCGAGTTTGCCGCGCTGCGTTTCTGCTGGGCTTTACGCGTTGAACTTGGCATGTCTGGCAGGCGCCGCTATTGCGCCAGGTATATTTCGATACCATACCGAGGCCGCGATGACATGCACACGCACCGACCAGTTGGCGACATGTTGACCCTGTTAATGTCATCTAGACCGCCTTGCCGACGCCGGGTCTAAGCCAACTAGAGTTGCAAAATTTCCCTACCGCACTACCGGCATGCCGGTAATTTTTCACTGCCACTAGTTTTTTCGTGGTATCTGGCATGTCTTGCCGGTAGCATGCCGGTATTTTTGATTTTCCACCAAAAAATTATCAGCATATGCTTCAAACTTTGGACACTAAGAGGCTATTGAATTGTATTAACAGCAATCTTAGCCACTGTAAAATACATGTTCTGGTAGAAGTTCCATTGCTAAGGGTTGGGGTAACACATGAACCTCAGCATTTCACAGGTTTGGCTCTAATTGAAATTGTCAAGAATCTACTGTGGTTTATCAAAGGAAGAATACTCATTCATGTTGCAAAAGCACAACCAATTAGTAATGCTGGTAGTTTTGGTTGGACAATGGGTGGCTGCTGGGTGGGGCGGTTACTGAAATAGCCAAAATGTGGCATCTCATGTAAGGGTAAGCCAGAAACAAGAATGCAGGTTTTTTAGTATGCCGGTAATTTGGCGGTTTTTTTTTTTTGCTTGTGGCGTGGTAGCATGCCGGTATCCCAGAAAATTTTTGTGGGGCGGGGCGGTGCCGGTAGCAGCCCATTGGGAAAATTTTGCAACTCTAAAGCCAACAGAAATGTGACGCCCACACCACGTGGTCAGAGTATAACCGGATCCAGTCATTCCAGCCGGTGGTCCAACCTACATACACTAACCGTCGCGTTCACTGTCTTGCTGGGGGAGAGCCGGCGCCGGCCGAGACGAGACGAGACGAGTCGGCCGTTTGGGGTGACGTCCGTGAGGCTCGCTTTGGCGGAGCTTAATGACGTCCCATTGGCGACCGAAACTGGTCTGATGACCTGGGCCTTCCAGCCCAATCAGGAGCCGGACGGCAGGGGGAGGGGGGGGGGGGGTCCAACTGACCCCCTCCCCACACGCTAGACGCAACAGAACGCCGCACACGGGCGAGGGATATGATAGGTGTACGGATCAGGTTCATTCGAAAGCCCGACCCATCAGTATCACAAGCGGCGGCCGCCGCCACGACGGGACAGTGACGACCTGCAGTTGTGCAGTTACATTCCGACTCAGCGTTGGAAATGGTCTAACATGAGCCTTCTTGCTGATACATGCCCTGGGGAAGGACCGCAGTCGACACAGCCAGCCGGGAACCACCGCGGCACGTCAGCGTGACACTCACCATCTCAATCCGCCTAGCGTTCAAAGCCAGCCGAAATCGGGGCGCCCGGGGCACCCGGCTATCCGACATACAATGCATCTCTGCACGGCGGCGTGACACTGACTGGGGCGGTCTATTCTGCGCACACACCCAGTCTAGAATCCATCACTGCACCGCAGAGTGACACTGACTATTTCGATCTACCCGACGCACATGTCCAGCCAAGTGTATCTCCTTCCCCCCCACCCCCACCCTCCGTTATGACCGGACCCTCCCCAGAACCCAGCCGCCGCTGGAGACCGCTCCCAACGCCCCATCTCCCCTCCCTGGGCCTCGGCACGGCCGACCTGTTTGTCT